AGAAAGACATCAACCTCGCCCAGGTCCTTCGTCGCAAACACGCTCGACAGCTGCTGCTTGAACCAGGTGACCCCCTTTTGTTCGCTGACGATGAGAATGTCGTCGATGAACACCACAAGAAGGATGTTGTTGTCCTTGTGTAGGTATATAGAGGGCTCCTGAGGGTGGCGAATGAACCCTCTATCGAGTAGTTGGTTATAAAGGGTGATGTTCTATGCGTGCGGGGCTTCCTTCAGGTCATACAACGCCTTCCGTAGACGAACAACATGGCCGGGCTTCTCATATCCAAGTGGGCACCTAATAAAGACAGGCTTGTCCAGCGGAGGTTGAGGAATGCTGTACTGATGTCCATCTGATGGATCTCCAGATTGAGTTGATTTGCCAGGGCAAACGCCGATCGAACAATGTGGTAGGAGGGCGTAGGAGAAAACACGTCATCCACTTGGTTGCCGTCTTGTTTAAATCCTCTTGCGACGATGCGGGCCTTGTACTTGTCAGGCTTGAGAGCAAATACCCATCTGCATAAGATGATTTTGGTCGTTGCGGCTTTCTCCGGCATGTACTCAAACACTCTCAGGTCTTCAATCGACTTCATCTCACGGTCCATGGCTTCTTTCCATTGATCTGCTGCTGCTGATTTGATTGCTTGGTTATAGGTCTTTGGTATGGTTGGCTGGAATAGTTGTGAGAGTGGTGGGTCATCTGCAATATTGTCGTCTTCCAATGGGTCTTCTGTCATCTCGCCATCTTCATTCACAAAGAGCAGGTCAGGATGATTAAAGAAGTGGTCTTCATAGATGCGTCCAGGGATGCGTCGCTCATCCGTTGTTCTTGTCTTTCTGGTCTGTTGATCAGCAGTCTCTTTCTCCCCCTCTTAACCATTGCCATCTTCTTCAATGATCTTCATGTCATCTTGGATGTCATTTGTCTCCTGATGCTGGTGTGATTTATTGTTGTCGTCGTGGATGTCTTCGATTGCTGGTAAAGGCTTATTCACAGATGTCTCGGGTCGTTGTGGATAGATGAGATCGATTGTTGGTGGTGCTCGTGGTTTCTTCTCTTGTCCAAGCAGTATCGCCTCGTCAAACATCACATCGCGTGACAGCACTAATTGCCGTGTGTCCGGCAAGTACACCAGATAGCCGTCTTTAGTCGTTGGGTTTACCAAGTAAGATGCCGATCTGCGTGCAAGGGTCCATCTTACTAATCGTCTCTTTCCTCTGGTTGATGTGTGCCTTGCAGCCGAAGATGCGGATGTGGCCGACATCGGGTGGATAGCCGATGAAGAGCTCATGTGGTGTCTTTATTCCTTCGTTGGCTGCGGTCGGCGTGCAGTTCTTGATTTACGTCGCTGTGGCCGTCGCATAACACCAATACGATACGGGTAAGCTGGCAGTGAACAGCAGTGCACGCGCCATAGCACAAATCACACCAATGGCTCGCTCAGCCACTCCATTTTGGGACTGATGATATAGTGGACTCCTCTCTTGTCGTATCTGGTTTGTCTGGCAGAATTCTTTCCACTGGCCCTTGATAAGCTCCGCCCCACCGTCTGTCCTCACTGCCTTGGGCATGCGGACTGCAGTGCAGTACTGGATGAATGTCGCAGGGGCATCTGATTTCTTCTTCAGGAAGTAAGTCTACAGCCACCTTGATGCATCGTCGACTACCACCATCAGATACTTGTGTCCTCTCTCGCTTGGCTGCTTGGTCTGTGACAGGTCGACGTTCATGAGATCACCAGGGTGTTGGTGTCGATACGCATCCCCTGCATACGGCAGTCGCTTCATCTTGACCTTCAAACACACTTCACACTTGGTCTTCTCGTCGTCATTGTTGTTCTCCTTCTTTGTCGTTGGTGCGTGTCTTGTCACTTCAGGTAGTTTCTTGAGATGGATATGAGAAGAGGCGGGGCTGGTTCGCTGCAGCTGCGTCAACACACAAGAGATCTGTCCGGCCTTCTGTTCCATCACGGAACATCGTGACTGATGCAAACAGAGTTTCTGACTGATGTGAAGGACCTTCCTCTAAGCCCGGGTGATCCACGGTGCCGACCCAAGCAGATCCGGGAGCAGCAACGGTTTCACGGAAAGTCAAAGGTGGCCCTAAAGCCTGGTCCCATGTCTTTCACGCACAACCAAACGAACGAACACGCAACAGGAATCACCCAGGCACGCTCCGGGAGGATCTGCGAGCTTAGCTTGGAGATGCATGGCACCATCCCGCGCCGAAAGAAAGATCACAGAAGTGTGCTCTGGCTGATGAAGACCAATATGGAGATCTGAAGGTCGGCATGCGTCATCACTCATGATGTGTTCATGTTCGTCATCAGGCGTGTGTTTGCTTGCTGTGTGCGCTGCTCACAGGTTGTCATCAGGCGCCCACGTGCTGCAAGGTCAGCAAGACAACAAGCGAATTAATTGCAGGAGTGAATGTCACACATACGTTGCCTCTGTGTGTGTGTGTGTGTGTGTGTGCAGTGACGGCAAGGTGGGTGTGAGAGAGAGGATACACACGAGTAGACGGGCATGCAGTCAACGAACAAACACAATGCATGCGCGGTCGGGGTTGGTGCAGGAGGGTCGCTCGCTTCAAGTGCATGCGTGCCAGATCCTGCTTGGTACACAGGTCAGTAGGCAACGAGAGAGAAAAGGGTTCGTTCTCTTCCGCACGGATGATATATACACATGCATATATATATATGAGGTCCCCGTCTGTCTGTCTGTCGGCCTATGTATTATTATGTGCAGCGAGCGAGCAGGACAAAGGACCACCTGGCCGGCCTACACAGGCACGTGATCTATAGATTATTGGTACGTGTGTACGAACGTCCATACAGTGAGTGCACAGATCCGTCCACCCACGCGGACACAAATCCATGCATACATGCACATGCGAGTGTGTCTAGGCGTGCAGTGCTGCTCCCATGTTGGAGAAGGTACACATACATACATACACACGCACTCTCTCCCGCTCTGCCGGCCACAGACACCCAGAAATTCACTTGTGCGTATCATCGCCTTCTGCAGGTGATTTGGATGGATGTGCCCCTATCCATGACGCACCTCATCGACCACTATGTATGTACACACACGCCCACCCACAATGAGCACCCAGACATACGCGTACCCATTGTGTGTGCAGGTGTCAGTCAACGGCTGCCCACATGCCTGCCCATTTTGGATCGCTTCCGATGGAAACGCGTCAGAGACACTGACGGGGAGCAAGTATCGACGTCGCACGCACGCAGTTGTGCACGGAAGACGCCTATTCACTCTTCGGTTTTCTTCCCTGTCTGTCAGTTGCCCCTACTGTCTCTGCCTCCTTTGCTGCTTGGCCATGGTGCCTTCGTTTGATGGCATGCACGAGCTCAGACACACGAGAGGCCACCGCCAGATGGCACCAGGCAAGTGTTCGCATACACGCACATGTTTCCGTCTGTCTGTCTGTCTGCATTCCTCCATTCATCCATGGGTCGATGTGGGTGCGCCTTTTATGTGATCCATCAGGGTGAGTGGAAGGTGACCCACGACAGCTGCATAAAAGAGGTACCTGGTGGATGCGGGCACATCCTTCGTTCCTGCAGCAGTTCTGTCCACCAGGCACTCATTGCCATGGCTGCACCAGGCAGAGACGACTTCGGCAAGGTGACTTTGAATGCACATTATGTGCACATGATGCATGCATGCATGAATGTATCGATTTGCACTTGCACCTCGGTGTATCTCATGTAGGTATCGAGCGAGCAGCAACAAGGACGACAAGGCCAGCTTCATAGCCTACACCACAAGCAGAAACACCAACAGGTAGGTGCGTAGTTGCACTCACTCCCAGTCGCTCCCTCCCCCTTACACACGTCTGTCCGCCCATTGAATGTCAGAACTTTCTAGCTCCTCAACAAACAACGTTACCAATACCCAGGAGGAAGAGGAGCTGATTGTCACCACTGAAGACCAAAAGTGGATGCTCAAACAGGAATCACTCATTCATCCAGGTGCGTGCATGTACGTGCGGATGTGCGTGCGGGAGGGAACTTCGCCATGGATTCCCTAAATCAGGGTATGGAAACAAGACGGGCGTCTCGTGCGTCGGTTAGCGGATCGACTAAGCGTACACTTACAGGGACTCATCCGCAGGTATGTCAGCATGTATATATGTATTATTGTCATGGGTGGGTGGGGTGTGTGTGTGAAGGACGTTCACGCCTTTGCCGCGTGCACCGGTGGTTGTGGGTGGCGCTGACCGCCAGTAGAGGCAGGTATGGATGGATGGATGGATGGACAGACATATCGTGCGAACGCCTTTGCAGTGCTGACCCAGGTACACATACACCTACACACAACACATATTACACGTGCACCGAATCCATCCATGTGTGTGTGGCTGTCTGCGCGTCTGCCTGCAGCACGTGCTGCAGCGGGGATGACGACCAGGACCATAATCATATATGGTCACGACAACGACCATGTTGAGTGTGAGGATGAGTGGACGGAGGGAAGGGCACTCAGACAGACAGGTGCCTGCCTGCCTGCTATGCAATACGCAATATGCCCACAAGTAGGGACCCCTCAAGGGATCGCTCCCTAATGACTCCGCCATATATTTGCATTTGCAAAGGTAAACGCACACACAAGGATGCGCGCAAACATCGACCACAGCAGGGCACATCCATTCATTCGTTGGTGTACGGACGTTCACATTTGGTCAGATGCAGCGCGTGCAGAGCGATGACGAGTCAGTCCATCACCCCGCAAGCAAGACAACAACAGCACGCCCGCCCGCCCGCAGACGAAACAAACGGTACATGTACACACACATCGACCCATTCACCCACACCTGCATGATCCATGTGCATTTGTATATTGATCTGTCCGTCCCGTCCAGACACGCCTCTGCCCCCCAGCACGGCCGGCAAGAAGAAGAAACGCAGCAAAAAGAAAAACAAGAAACCGGAAGAGGTGAGGGGATGGGTGGGTGGGATTGCACGCACACCAACAGGATTTGTGTGCGTCTCTCTCCTCTCTGTGTACATGTGTCTATGGGTGAGTGACAGTCTTTGCTTGACGAGGCCGCGCAGCTGCCAGGCAGCTGAGGAGGCCGCACAGATGCAGGTATCCATCCATCTTTCTATGCGCACACAACACGTTCATGGTTGTGCGTCCGTGCGTGCAGCCTTCTGTGTCTCGCCCTCCCCCTACACCCACGAGCTCATGCCCGCATACACCTCACAGGCTAAAGGTCAGAATGCCCTCACCTGTTCATTCACAAGCGCCACTGTACGCGTGCACGCGTGTATTTGTGTGAATGTGTGTGCAGAGGTGCGAGCTCTGCTGGCCAAGGCAGCTGAGAAGCTGGAAAAGGATCGGAAATGATGCGAGATCGGTACGCACACACACATAGGGCACCCAACCACATAAAAATGTGATATGTGGAATGTGCAGGCTCCCGTTTGTTGACTGGTTTCCCGACTGGGGTGCGTCGTGACATGAGCGGCCTCAACTGCAGACAGGTGTTCATCGTCTTCATGGTAGTCACACATGCACCCACACAAAAAGATAGATAGATGCACACGTGCTCGGAATGGTCAGGTGGGCAAAGGAATCGATACACGGATGGATAGAGGGATGGATAGATGGACGGATGGATGGATGCCATTGGATGGATGGATGGATGGATGAGTTATTCGTGTTTGGTGTTTTGTTGGTGCCATGACCACCATGTTTTGCTACGATGTGGACGCCGGGTAAGTGGACAAGTGTCCGCCCACTCACGTACATGTGTACATGTATCAATGTTTGTTGCATGTATATATGTCGTGTGGGATTGACGGCTTCAACCACAGCGTCGAGAGCTGAGAGACTCCATCGAAAGCGTCAACTTCCTCAGGTAAGTACCCATAAACTCATCTATAGACCATTTCTTCGTGAATGTCTGAATGCCTGTGTGTGCGTCTGGTTGCTAACAAACCACCAGGGTTACTGGAAGAGCCACACAAATGGTGCCGCAGAAGGGCATACACGCCATCTTCTGTGTGTCCCTTTCGTGTGTTGGCTGCTTGTGTTGCTTGTTGGCCTTCGTGAGGACATCAGACGTTCTATCCGACCGTGAGGCCATTCGCCCTACGCGTGAACCTCCCTCCTAGAGCCGGCCCGGCTCTACGAGGTGATCGACCCTTACTCAATTGACTGACTGACCGCGTGATTGACTGATTGACTGACTGACTGAATGAATGAATGATTGAGTGACTCCTGGTCGTTTGCCGGTCGTCATCGTGTCGCCGTTGGTTGTTGTGTGTGTGTCGTTCAGCTGCAGCGGGCCTGTATGCGATGGAGAAGAAGCAAGCTGCGTGAACGACACACACCTACACACACACACACACACACACACATGGAGAGAGAGGGGTGCAAGGGGTCCATGTGGCTGTTTTCTGTGTGTGAGGCAAGGCGTCTCACTGACCGTCTGGGTGCATTGTGTGCAATGAGACCGTTTGTGTGACCGATGGACGATTGAATGGGTCAATGGGCGCCGTGGCTGGGGGGCAGTCAGTGTCTATTGGGGTGGGGTAGGTGCGTGTTGTCTGTCTTTCTCTCTCTCTGTCTGTCTCCATCCATGAGTGCTCTGTGGTGCTGTGATCAGACCGATTGATGTGTGTGAGAGCGAGCAAATGCACACACAGCAGACAGAGACAGAGAGAGGGGCGATGTGGGCGTGGCGTGTGTGCGGTTACAGAGAGGCCATGAAATGAAGGCTGCATGCCGCTGTTTTTATGTGAGTGTTTTGTGTGTGGGGAAGTGACTCGACTGATCGGTGGCGGGTGGGTGGGTGCCTACGTGACGTACACTAATTCATTGGACACATCTCTCTCTCTCTCTCTCTGTGTGTGTGTGTGTGTGCTGACAGTGTATGTGTGTCGGGCCATAGGCAGTTTTGGCTGTGGTCGGCTGACTCACAGGCAGGCGGTGGCCATCGCTACTCAGACTCATGTGTGGTTTGACCTGGGCGGCTGCGTTGCGTTGGGGGGCGTCTTGTGTGGGTCCTTCTCGCCAGTTTGGATCGTTTTGATGGCTTTCACTCTGTCTGTTTGTCTGTCTGCCACGCCGCACCGTCACGAGCGCCGTAGATCAGGCAGCGAAGCATCAGGGGCACACCCAGGGGACTCCCCTGTGTGCGCAGTGCGCTGGTGGGGTCAGCCAGGTGTTTTGCCATCAGTGTGAGAGCCTGACTCGACGTCTCTTGGTGGGTCGCTCATATGTTGTGGCTGCGTTGGTGTGAGTGTTTTGGTGCTCGAGGCACACGACAATTACTTTTGCCACCACACGCGCCTCTCTCTCTTTCTCTCTCTCTCTGTCTGTGTGTGTATGTGACTGTGCGATTTGACTCACTCGATGAGGTTACTGATCATCAGACTGATCGATGTGTGTCGGCCGGGTGAGCGGCTGCTCTCGTGTTGGTCTGATTCGCTGTGTGTCTGGTCGGCGGTTTCATAGCGACGACCGCACGGCCACTGCACACCGCTGTGTGTGTGTGTCTGTGTGTTTGTGTGTTTGTGTGTGTGTTGGGCTGGACGGTGTCGAGTGACTTATGCTTTGTGAGCTCATGTGGTGCGGAGTGGTGTGTGCCGCTGTATGTCTTTTTCTCTCTCTCTCGGCTGCGTCCGGCCCCTTTGCAGGCAGCCCGTGTTGACCTGGATCTGATACACTTTTGTGTGTGTGTGGTGACACCTCCCTCCCTCCCTCCATCCATCCCTCTCTGTCTGTCTGTCTGTGGGCGTGGTTGGGTGGTTGAGAGAGGGAGAGGGGGGAGCGGTGCATTAGTACACTTTGATCATCGCCCAGCCAGCAGTCACACACACACACAGAGAGAGACAGAGAGAGAGAGAGGGGTGCGAGGGGTTCATGTGGCTGCTTTCTGTGTGTGAGGCAAGGCGTCTCACTGACCGCCTGGGTGCATTGTGTGCAATGAGACCGTTTGTGTGGCCGATGGACGAATGGTTCAATGGGCGCGGTGGCCGGGGGGCGGTCGGTGTCTGATGGGGTGGGGTGCGTGCGTGTTGTGTCTGTCTCTCTTTCTCTCTGTTTGCTGCCTCCGTCCATGAGTGGTCTGTAGTGATGTCATCTGACCGATCGATGTGTGTGAGAGCCGCCAAATGCACACACAGCACACACAACAGGGAGGGGGACGATATGGCGGTTCAGAGAGGCCATTAGATGGGGGCTGCATGGCGTTGTTTTTCTGATGTGAGTGGCTTGTGAGTGTGGAGAACTGACTCGACTCATCGGTGGCGGGTGGGTGGGTGCCTACGTGACGTACACTAATTCATTGGACACATCTCTCCCTCTCTCTCTCTCTCTCTCTGTGTGTGTGTGTGTGTGTGTGCTGTGCAATGGACTCATTCGATAATTATAAGTCGATAAGGTGATTGATCGTCAGAGCGATCGATGTGTGTCCGCTGGGTGGCCGGCTGTCTGTGTGAGGGGGTTTCTTCAGGCAAACGGGCATTCACGCGAATGAATCGGTCTCATCAGTGGTCGACCGACCACTGCACACCCACACCAACACGTACAAAGCAATACAGCCAACACCCACCCACACACACACACACAGACACACACGCATAGAAAGATGTCGGTAGGTAGCCGGACAAACAAATGCACCCCCGCACTGCGAATTCTCAGAGGCCACCACACGCATGGCATGCCATGCGTGTGGGCGGCATGCCATGCGTGTGGGCGTACAAAATGGCCGCCCGTCCCGTCAGAGTCCAGCTCTCGTCGAATGCACCTGTCCGACTGTCGTACACAACAAGGCAAACAGTGGGCATCCCCCTCACACACACAGCTAGAGGACTCAATCAACCTCTGATCGTCTGACTGGGTGTCACTCTGTTGACGCCGAAAAGACTCATGGATGGTATCCGTCTGCCGGTCGAAGCTTAGCTAACCAAAAGTAGCGGCGCTGCCGTCTGGTCGACACCCGGCTGTTTGATGGCTGCGCTCTGCTCGATGGTCAAGACGGACTGCCATTGGCCTCGCCACCACTCTGACGCCACACACAGACAGACAGACAAACAGACAGACAGGCGGGCAGGCAGCCAAATTAAACAGACAGACACATATACGACGTCTGTCTGTCTGTCTCTGCCCCCATCCCTCTTTCGTGTGTGTGTTGTGTGTTCGGTTGGAGTTCGGTCAGCGGACATGCACACGGCCGACCACACACGTGAATCGGTCTCACCACTCCTTGACCACTGCACACAGACACACACACACACACATTCCAGCCGTCCATGCGATCAGTGCACACGTTTGTCTGCACTGAGGCTGTTACAAAAGTGTCATGGTGCGGATGTCCTCTCTCTGGTAACGGTCAAACCCACACGCGAAGCATACCAGCCATCCATACGCGCAGCCAAACACACCAGACAACCAACTGATCTCAGCCAACCGAGAGAGAGAGAGAGGTAGCCAGCCACACACATGCTTTCGTGCCGTCCGCTCTGAGTGAGAGTCCCGTGTTCCCCTGACTGATGTGCGGGTCAAATGCATGTGCTGTCTGCCTCAGTATGTGATCGGCGAGGGGACGGACCTTGTGGCGGATACGTAGGCACACACCGGGAGGCTAGAGAGACAACACAGACGGACAGACAGGCAGATCTCAAGCAGATATGCGTGCATGTAATCCCAGTGAGACATGACCCTCAAAAGCATCCCAAGACATGCATCCGGCCAGTCGGGAAGAGGGGAGAGGAGTAGGTCAGCACAGGGATGAGTCCTGGAAGGACGAGGAGGCACATGGACTCAGAGAGAGAGCAAGATCTGGCTGAGGGAAGATGATGCAAGAAGGGTAGCTAGCTGTCGTACGAGTACTCGTGTCGCCTCGCTGAGGACTCACCGGGAGGGTGGCCAGCTGGGCGACGTACTCGTTTTCCACCATCACTCACATGCGCACTCCACCATCATTCTGCGGCTCCAAACCTGCCGAAGGGAATATGGTCGGAAGGACCAAGGATCGTGCCGAAGCAACAGATCTCAGGAGAATGACTCAAGTCATATCGGATGCCAACGATAACGAATCATGAAACACAACCGGCACTAACTCGTTTGGCCAACTTCTCTATCTCCCGTCTTACGCCCCCAGGCCCACGCATGCATGCACTGCAGCCTTATCTAGCGCTCTTATTCATCAGCAGCCCTCTATCTTCCCTGGCTGCCTCCCCTGTGCCCATCTACGGCTTGTCGTCCTGCCTGCCTACACACGGCTACCATCCTTCAGCCTGTCATCCATCAGCATCAGCATCAGCTCCATCCATCCATCCATTCATCCAGGGCTGCATCCTCCCCATCGGCACACGGTCCACGGCATCCAATCCATCCGTCCATCACGTCCAGACACCTACGTCCACACTTCCAGTCATCTGAGCCGAGCGCCTTCATCAGGGCCACAGACAGGGGCGAAGGGCATCGTGAGCACTTCGCAACACAACCCCGCCGGTCAAGCGCGAGGCACACGGCTTCGACAATGGATTCGAGCGCGAAACAGGGAAAGGAGGCCCACAAAAGCTCGCAGGCAGGCAGCGAAGTGAGAGCTCGAGGGAAGGAAGGCAAAATCGACGCCAGCAGCAAGGCTTTATCGACAGCAGCACCAGGTAGTGAAGCAGCAGGTCCCTCGGGACTTCCAATCGTCAGGCCAGGGGAGAGGGGCTCGACACTGACGCAGAGAGGTGAAGGGGAAGGTCCTCATTAAAACCAATATCAGCAAGGCAGGTAAGCCATGACAGACAAGGCAGCAAGATCAGGGTAGGTGTCCGAGTCGTCTGCAGCCGATTGGTGTGCTGTGTGTCGTTGGTCAGTCAGCGGACACCAGGGATGGGCAGAAAGAGCAGTCCTTCCGGGAGAAGACGAGAGGTCGACACGTCCAAGAGCCTTCACTTGACTCAGGGCACTTGTGAGTCCAGAGTAAGCCGCTCAGCACGGACAGGGGGCTTCACCATCAGGATCAGAGGTACGCACAGTGAGGAAGGAGGAAGAAAAGCCTCTGCACCGACTTGAGCACGGTCCTTGACTGGCATTCTCTTCAGATGATATCCAGCTGCATTATGATGACGACTTCAGACGGCAGGGGACATCGAGGACGACAGCAATGGCCTCCAGTCGGCCGACAAGGGCAAGGTAGGCAAGTGACAGCATAAGGGCAGCCAGCGGGGCGTGTGACGGCACACCAGACCGGATCAGCAATGGTCAGCTGGGCGCCCGAGCGAGGAAGAAGAACTCCAGATAGGGCATCAGGTGGATCAAGTAGACGAGGGA